CATAAACAGTGGCACAAATCAATTGGCAAAGACTGTAAGCCAGGGGTCCTCAAACTATGGCCTGAGGGCCACATATAGCCCGCGGAGGACATTGATCCGGCCCACCAGGTGTTTTTGCCCTGTTTTGTTTCTTTACTTTAAAATAAGATATGTGCAGTGTGCATAGGAATTTGTTCATAGTATTTTTTTAAACTATAGTCTGGTCCTCCAACGGTCTGAGGGACAGTGAACTGGCCCCCTGTTTAAAAAGTTTGAGGACCCCTGCTGTAAGCCCTCATTTACCCCGCATTAGCATCAAAGAATGATGTGTTCCTATCAGATAACTAATATTCACTCTGATAAATAAAAAAAGCCTGGCCTGACTTCTCCAATAAGGCATACTATTGGTTCTTTCTTAGGATGGATATTATGCCTCTTAGCAGACTGCTGACAACTTCAGCACTAGCAGAATGCCAAATGCAGAGGGAAGTACAATAGATATATAATGCGTTGAAATCAATCACTAAGTTGTATGAGCCTCTGAGTAACACAAGCAATTAAGCACTCAACTACTAGCTGAAAGGTTGAAGGTTCAAACTCAACTCAGAAGAACCTCAAAAGAGAAGCCATTCCCAAAAGGTCACACAGCCTTGAAAACCCAGCAAAATAGTTTTAATCTGACCAACCTCAATCTCCATGAACAGGAATCAACTTAACAGCCACTAACAAATGTATGCAGCCCTAAGAACATATGATTATCATCGGGGTCCACCGTGCCATAAAACTGTTGTCCGTCTATAACAAACCTTAAAAGTGCTATACTATATAAATATCTCATTGCTAATTTTTAATTTTGTGTGCTCTTTCACATATAGTCATTTCCTGCTGATGTAGCACGTACACAGTTCTTCCTTCATATCTAGTTTCCATTTATAGTCCACTTTGAAAACCCAAAACCAAATATCTGTAGATGCCAAACTAGCTATAAAACACACACACACACACACACACACACACACAAAAGCTTTGGCTATGGACTCAAGGACATCTCTGGGAATTACAGTCAATGAGCTTGAGAACACTGGTTATGGCAAATATCTGACGGCTCAGAAGCATTTTTTGTTACCTTCTGATAACTCATGTTTAATTACATAAGCTAAGTTCTTATTTTGATACTAAAACTTGTTAAGATTCACCTTTACTAAAAATAATTTAGAATGAGGTAGCTTCAAAAATTCATATAGTAATTCCATTATCTTGTAATATTAGTCTTCCACAAAAAAATGAAGCCCCCTTGTATGTCCCATTCTCAAATTTTAAGAAAAGGTATTGAGCTTTGATACTACAGGCAAAATAAAATTTTATATATTTTACATTTTGTAGGAATTTTAATTGGTTGGAAAGAATCTAAAATATAAATAAAAATCACCCAAGAGTTACCTCCTCCTCACAACCGATTTGGATGGTAGGACTAGATCAAGGGCAATGTAACTGAGAGGAATTGCTGAAACCTAAATGAATGCTGAGCATGATAGTGGGACAAGAGGAAAGTAAAAGGAAATAGAGGAAAGAGCTAGAATGCAAAGTGCATTTATAGAGGTCTAAATATAGGCATGTACATATGTAAATATACTTATATATGAGGATGGGGAAATAGATCTATGTACATATATTTATAGGTTTAGTATTAAGGTAGCAGATGGATATTGGGCCTCCACTCAAGTACTCCCTCAAAGCAAGAATACTTTGTTCTATTAAACTGGTATTGCATGATGCCCACCTTCCCCACAATCACTGAAGATAAATGGGTGCATAAACAAATGTGGTGAATGAAGAAGGCTGATGGTGCCTGACTATCAAAAGATACAGCATCCGGGGTCTTAAAGGCTTGAAGGTAAACTAGCGGCCATCTCACTCAGAAGCAACAAAGCCCACATGAAAGAAGCACACCAGCCTATTTGATCACGGGGTGTCAAAGGGATCAGGAATCAGGCATCAAAGAACAAAAAATCATATCATTGTGAATGAGTTGGAGTCCGGAGTGGGGAACCAAAGGCCATCTGTAGGCCACCGGACATCCCCTGGTGGAAGGGTCACGGGGAGGAGACGAGCCAGTCAGGGTGCAGTATAGCAACGATGAAACATACAACTTTCCTCTAGTTCCTAAATGCTTCCTCCCTCCCCACTATCATGATCCCAATTCTACCTTACAAATCTGGCTACACC